CACCAGTATGGAAAGTGTTGTGAGGGAGTCAGTGGGAGAGTCTCTGAGAGTCGAGGGAGGATTCTCCAGGAGGAACAACCCATTGGGGTAAATCAGAGACCCTGGAGTCCAGGGAGGGAGGTCAGATGATGTGGAGAAAGTGACCGAAAGGTCGGGGGTGAAGGGAAGAAGAGGTTTGGGTGAGGGCCCCACACAGCGAGGTGGAGGTAGAGGTGACCCTGAGAATTCACATTTGGGGAGGTAGAAAATGGGGGAGCAGAAGGTCCAGGAGTCGGGGAGGAGTTCCTTATAAATCCACTCACTCTCCACTCATTCACTCCATCTCCCCGTCTGTGTCTGAGGTGCATCTGAGACTTGTGACTCTGGGAAGCTGGGGACAGCTGCTCTTCTCCTGCTATGCACAGATTGCGTGGTTGTAAAATCGGCAGCAGTTGCTCAGAGCCTCGGCACTGGAATTGGAGCTGGTGCTGAAAAGAAAGCACAGGCTGCCAACAGGAACACACTATGCAACCCTGGGAGGTTGCGCCATGTTTCTGGTCCATCCCTTCCTCCCCAGGTTTGGTTCGCAAGCCTCCACTTCCTCCTCCCTGGTGGCAGCAGAGTAATCAGTATGTTTCTTCCTTTGCCCTGGTGCCAAAGCCATCGTCCAGGCACACAGGCCTTCTGCACCTGTCCCAATGGGTGGCCCCACCATGGCCCTGGCCCTCACCTCTGGAAGAGCTCACGGCAGCACTGGTACACTTCGAAGCTAGTGCTACTGAGAGTGGTGTTCAGAAGGGACACACAGTCCACCGTAGCCCCCCTGGGCACATAGAGAATCCCTGTGAAGACATAGCAAATGGAGCTCAGGGCCTATCCTTCCAGCACCCACTTCTGGGGACATCAGGAGAGGCCACAGCACGGACCTGGGACCAGGTCTGCACTCACCTGCCACACAGGCATTCACCAGTGACACACAGGCTCCAGTGAAGTGGGCCCGGAACACCATCTGGGAGAATTCACCCTTCCGCTTAGGGACCATGGAGGCTGCAGGCAACAAGAGAGCTCAGGGCCAGGGACACCATGTACCTTTCGACCTACTCTCTGGGAATCTGGCTGTGTCCTCTGGCCCCTAGCCTCTTTCCTCTCCTGGGTGTTGTCCTCAATTTCCCCTCTGGCTTACTGAGTTCAGGAGCCCTTCTTAGTCTGACTCAGATGCCTAGACCTCCTCACATAGCATAGGCGGCAGATGTGGGAGAAACAACATGAGTTGGAAGTC